GATCAATTCTTTGGTTATTTTTTTCTTTTCTTTTGACTCTTAATTTGAACCTTTTTCCCCACTTGGATCTTATATTTAGAGCATTATAATTCTTTTTTTTTTTCCTTAATCAACCAAAGAGCCATGTGAACTCTACCAATAATCTCTCTTCAGACAATGGAAAGATTATGTAGTTTGCATGTGAACAACAAAACTTAAATTGCAAGCATTATATGGTAGACCATACTAAATGATAATCATAGAAAAATTTTATTTTCTTGGAATTTGAAATTTGGTTCTGGAAGAGTATATATTTTTATGATTTTATATATCTAATGCACTCAACCTGCTATTTATTTTTAGGTTAAATAATTATATCTTTGTTTATCTACATTCTTTTTTTTTTTAATTTCCCCCTAGAATTTTTTAAAGTTTTAATTTTGTTTGACTAGTCATATCTATAGATGTTAATGGGTGTTAAATTAATGGTTAAATATATAATATTTTTATATATATTAGACCACATCAATAAATTTTGTTAGTTCACACCGTTAAAGATGAATAAACCATCACAAGCTGATGGATTGAATAAATTTAATTCATTTATATAGATTATCAACGCACGCTAACAGTATCATTTGGCATCCTTAGGCGAATTTTCTAAGATGTAGCTCAAAATGCAAGATTAAATAGAAGTGATTTTGTCCATCAAAATCACTTCAAAATATGTTCTATTGTTTAACAATGATCCAAAAGATCCACTTTATTTTATAATTATGATATCAACATGTACTAGTGCTCTTATAATTACATAAACCTCATTTATTTTGTTTTATTTACCTTACATATAGGAATAAAATGGTTTCTAGTAATTAAAAAAAAAGGTAAAAATCACTTTTAGTCTTGTAATTTCGTTGGAGTAACAATTAGTTCCTAAACTTTAGTTAAACCAATTAGTTATGAGAGGAGTAGCTCATGTCTATTATAAACTATTATAAAGTCCCTTTCTATTCAATGTGGGATCCCTAATACTCTCGATGTAACAATTTAGTTCTTGTAGTTTAAAATTTATAACGATTAAGTCCATATTCTGAAAAATGTTAATAAGATTTAATGAAATGTGTGATCAAATGTGTTCATAAACTACAAAGTCTAAATTGTTACAAAATAAAAATCGACACTTATAGATAGAGACTAAATTGTTACATATTAAGATTGAGAGACACTATAAATTGTTACCAAATTTGAAAGTATAACGACTAGATGATTACAAACTAAAATTCATTAACTAAATTGATTAAAGTATTGAAACAAAAGTGTTTTTTAATTGGAAATTTTTTTTTAAATCCAATCAAGCCAAAACTCATATCAAATCAAGAAGACAAAAAGAAGCTCAAAATTCTAGATGGATTTGATCTGTTTTTCTTCTTCTTTTTTGGTCTGCCTCATGTTATGCAGCAAAATGAGACTTTTGTATTATGGAATTTGAAGCTTTTCTTCCGAGGCCTCATATAAGTATTTTTTTCAATGATACAATTTGTGCTGTGGTTTCTCTCCACATAAATTAAAAATATTACAAAAATCAAAAGCTAAGAAATAATTATCAAAGCTGAGACATAAAATGACAACAATCATATGGCACTCCATCGTCTGACCCTCCCAAACTTTTGATTTCTTTTCAACCAAAAAAATAATTACAGATGAAATTCAAATGTTGGAAAATCACTAGTTTTTTTAAGTACAAATAAGAAGTTAACGAGAGAACACGAAAAAACATCGAGTAGGATCGGTGAAAAGAACTCTTTCTACCTGCATTGGGTACTCTTTTTTCAGATCCTTGAATGTTGATGTCTAAAATCACTGGTTAACTAGCTAGATATTGATGAATTAGGTCTCGTCTGATAACCGTTTTATTTTTTGTTTTCTGTTTTTTAAAATTAAACTTTTACATCATTTCCATCCATATATTTCTTTGTTTTGCATCTGTTTTTTTAATTGCTTCCAGAATCTAGGCCAAATTTTAAAAACTAAAAAAAACAATTCTCAACAACTTTTTTTTTTTTAAATTTGGTTAAGAGTTAGAAATGTGAGAACATAGCAAAGAAATTGTGATCAAACAAACATAATTTTTAAAAACAGAAAACAAAAAACGAAATTATTAACGAACAAGAGCTTAGTAATTTTATTTTATTTTTATTATAATTCATATATGGGAGTTGGGTGAGTACTCAAACCTACGGTTTTTGAGGAGAAGTTACTAATGGTCTCGACCAATTGAACTAATACTCAAGACAGATCACATTCATTCATTCTTCTTTTTTTTCCTGATATTTGTAATTATATTTTTTATTATTAGCTCCTATTTTGGTTACTTTTTATCTCAACTATATTAGATATATAGTCATCCCTAAATATAAATAAATATTCATCAGTGGAAAGACTTTTAAGTAGAGTTCAAAAGTAAACTATGTAGACTTATCTCTGAAAATGACTATATATTTGCATTTTGAGGTTTTTTTTTTCTTTCTTTCTTACTAATGTTGAAGAGTAACAATTCAATTTCATTACAAATTCATATAAACAAAAAAAATTTAGTTAATTGATCTCAAATCTAATAAATTATTTGTCTTTGGTATTTAGAAAGAGACAATGAAAATTATTCTTTTGTCCTTTGATATTGTGGTGAATCTTCATTATCTTTATTCTTTTGCCTGCTCCAAAATTAAAGTTCAGATCCATTCTGATAAAAGTACAATTATTTTGAGAAGTGGTTGAAGACAACCATTTGCGTTTAAAAGAGAGAACAAAAAATAAATAAATAAAAGTTATTGATGGCTTGATAATTAAGATGTTCATATAAATTGGAATAACACCACCTTTGATACAATAATTATGAGCATTAATTCAGATTTAGATTTTAGGAAGGGATCTTTTGATTTATTTAAATCCTATTTGCCATTACTTGATCTACCTTTTACCTTTTTCAAATATAAGATTAAATGCTTTTTTTAATGGTTTTTAGTACTATAGATACGAAGGTACGGTATTTGACCATCAAATTTCAAAAGAAGAAGTATATGTCAAATACTATTGAGTTAGGTTCAATTTCGATTGTTTATATCTACTACTTTTGAATTTCAAGCCCTAGTTCGTAGTTCTTTTTTAATTTTATTTTTGTGGATAATAATTTTGATTTTATTTCTTGATTTAAAAATTATGCTTGTATACTTTCAATTTCCCTTAGCAAAAATACTTTTAAATTTTGACAAAATCTCAAAACCCAGAAATGGACATTCGGAAACTATTGTCATGTTTAAATTTAGCTAGAACTTTAAAAATAATATTGATTTAACTCAGATTAATAGCTTAAAATCAATTTTTTAATTTGCCAAACATAATCAATAGAAATGAAAGTGATTTTCACCCTAAGGTGCCGTTTGTTTTTCGGAAATGTAGATAACCGGCATGTAGAGATGCCCGGAATTTCAGATGTCCCGAATGTTAGATGTCCGACATCTTCAGATAACCACCTTTGTTTTGTATGAATATTTTTTAAAATATCCGGGAATATTTAGATAGCGAGGTTTGTTTTGCAGGATTTATTCTTAGGAATGTGTTAAATTTATAGAATGTTCCAAAAATACCCTCACAAATATTTATATAATTTATAAATTCATCTAATATAATAAATTTATTTGAATTAATTTAATATTTTTATTTCTTTTTATGTTTTTTTACTTCTTTTATTTTATTTTTTATATGTTATTTTGTAAAACAAATTAATTCATTATTAATTTAATATAAGTTTCATTTTCAACTTTAATCGTTTTCTAAAAAGACAATTATATAATTTGGGTAAAATTTATTTATCCTATCAAAACATTATATATTTTTTTTAAGAGGAAAAATATCGTGTTGGCTGTAAAAAAAATGTTGCTTTACAATTATATATTTATGATAATAAATATTATTAATAATGTAATTCCTTCACAATATTAAAAATAAATGGATATATTATATAATTTAATTGTAGTTAATTTTACATGTAAATCTAATGTACAAATATACTTAATAGCATAAAGTTAAACTATGGTTATATTAATTTATTTTAATTATAAAATAAAAATAAAGAAATCTTTTAGGAAAAATTTCAAAAAATTGATGAAAGAAAATATATGGAGAAAAAATGGAGGGCAAAAATGTAAAAAGTGGGTGCCCTCGACCTGGGAATCTCTGAAACTCATGTTTCAAAAGGGCATCCAAAACTCGTAAGATGCCTCCCGTATGGACATCTTAGGATACTCGGGATACTCATGTATCTTACATTACTGCAAAACAAACGTGAGAATTTAGATGTCCGTCTCATGGGAATCTTGGATTCCCACGAAACGAAGGGCCCCTAAATGGTTTAGGATCAAAAGTCTTTTAAAATCCTGATCATGGTTGTATTAAAATATTAGATATTAAAATAGATATATACATAGGTAATTCATTTATATTAAGATATTTTTTTAATATAAATAAAAAGTTGAAGTTTTACCCGAATTAAGAACTTGTAAAGTTTTAATTTACTCAAGCAAGTTTATAACAAAATTGGGTTTGTGATCAAATCTTTTTTAAGTAATTGAGTTTTAGAAATTTTCTTTTCTTTTCTTTAAACATAACATAGTTTTTAAATGATCAAAATAGTTCAAAGGTACAGCACAAATAGCTTTCACATTTTCCTTTTTTCTTTTACAAAGATAACATAGCATAATTCTTTAAATATGTGAACATGTTCAAAACCATTATTTTTTAAGTTTAATATTTAAAACCATTTTCTGAACAGGAAAACTTTATGAACTCCAACTTCCATTTCATTTCTGACGTTTAAACAGAAGATCAAAAAATCTCCAAATTACCGATAAAGATGATTAATATAAACTAAAATCACATGTGAAAGACAAACGAAACGAGAAATCGACACGTTATCAAACAATAGAGTTCATTTGAAGAGTGATTGAATTAAATAAGATTTCTCATCCAATCTCAAAATGGTAACACCTATTGAAATATTATTCAGCATTGATGGCAAAAAGTCTTGAGAATCTCATCATAAGAATCAAAATATAGAAGTGATTTACACAGTGCCAAAAAGAGATTTCAGCACAGGCAACAACATCCATTATTTTGATGCATAGAAAATTCCAAACGCTTACAATTCAACAAGGACTTGTATCTGAAGAAACAGTACCAAAATGGAACGGTCGTTCATCGTGAGGTCTACCTACGATTCTGGTTCTCCGCCAAGCTCAACTCTTAGGTTGTCATAAGGATACACTTTTGGGGCCTGAATAAAAGAAGGGTTGAGCTAATATCAATAATCTTAAGAACAGTAAATAAATGAGAAATCTCCTAGCATAAATTTAATATGTATTTTCAAATATGTCACAACTTTTCATTCTTTTCAAATATAGCCTAAGTGTGCTTTTTCTCAGTATGTTTAGTCATATCACTGGGAAGATGGCCTACAGATTGGTTTCTATGCAAATATCAAAGTAAAAGTACTGAATTGAAACCACCTTTAAGAATACAAAGCAACAACCATAACAAGAACATTTTGAATTATTTGATGCATGTCAGAGAGATTAATCAAAAGTATATCATGCGCTCTGGTGGAAGAATTCCCCCTCACATTTTGTCACCATGCGAGCATTTGGGAGTAGTGGCCTGGTTGCAAAGATAACACATCAGTGTTCCTTTTTTAAGTAGTAGAGGGAACGGAAGGAAGGTCATGATTCGAGAGAAAGGGGTGGTCCAAATCTTTAGACAGGACAAATATCTTCGCAGAAGGCTATGGAAGTTGCTGGTCCAAATATTTCTGGAAGAAGAGAAGATTATAGTTGGCCTACATTCTCCTTTTAATGTTGTCCAAACAGAAAGGGGTATCATCATTCCACTGCATACATCACGAGAGTTTGATAGCCTATCATTCTAAGTTGAACTCTTCTTAGTTCTTCCTCGCCCAAAAGGATGTAGATAATCCGGCATCGACAGACAGTTGTTTGTTTCAAATGGTGATAGGCCCCTTGGTGAACTATTTCCTATTTAACCTTTCTCTTGCAAAGAACTACCCATCTCTCATTTTATCCTAGGTTCGGGAGTTAGCTTAACCCATCCATGAAGGTAAACAGGTTTAAACTCTTGAACCTTCAGATCTTTTCTCAGTCGAATCTTTGTTTGGAGGAATGGCTTGCCCCACACTATACCCATCTCCTTCTCCTTTTTCACAAAGCTATGGAAAGCTTACATTCCTAAGAAGTTGAGTTCTTTGGTTTGTCTCTTATGGGAGGATTAATGCCCCTATGAAACTATCTAGAGATTTTATCGTTTTATGTTAGGGCCACTGTGGTTTGTTATATGCAAACATAAGAGCGAGAGTCTGAATCATATATTACAAGGATGCTCCTTCATTGGGATATCCCAAATTGGCAGAGTTTCTTTAAGGTTTTTGACTGGTCGAGCCACCTCTCTTGAGATATCTTTAAAATTCCAATGGAA